CTCTGATTCAGCATAATAATAATAATAATAACAATAATAATAAAGTTATATTTTAGATTACTTTTATAATTTTTTTCTTAGTATATTGAGTAATATTAGTGGTGTCTTGTGAATCTGTTTCTACATATTCAGATAATCTGAAGGGTATTTCTTTCTGTGACACCATCTAAAAGTCTTGAAAAACACTGTTTTATAGAATGGGGGTGATGGGGATTCAGGAATGACTGAAAGGTATCACAAGCCAAAAAATACTTTTCAAAAAGCAGACCTCTGAAGCAAAGGAAAAAACCTCCTAAATGCACAATCAGATGACCCAGCACTTGCCCTGGGTACATGAGTCTGTTTATGGCTAGGCTGCTATTGACATTTCCATAATCTGAGCTTAACAACATGCTTTTATTTCCAAAACAAATTGCAATATTGCAAGTACAGATGTTATCTTGATGTTGGGCAAAATTGAAATAATTGATAGAACTTATCTAGTAAGTAATCTTGCAACACTTGTCAGAGTAGATATTATGCAAAGTTTCAAATGCTCTTAAAAACCACCAGGGCTTAGAAGAGATACAAAAATATCTTAAAACAGAAATATTTAAATGTGGATGTAAATTTAACCTAACAGTTCCATTAAAACCAATTCCAAGCTAAAAATTTACCTGTATGAGCTTTCCCATAAGATGAAATGGAAAAGAGCTATAAACACATAAAAATAACCACTTGAGAATCTAATAAATCTAATAAAAAACATTTATCTATGTCTCCAAAAGGCTGTATGATGTGCTGGCTTACAATGCCGCCCTTAGTCTAGGTAAGAGAGGTCATAGCCCTGAGTCCCACTCTTGCTATAACCTGTCTTCCTGAAGACTTCCTGGGACCAACTGAACCCACCTCTCCAAAACCAGGGTTCCTCCACCTGGTTTTAGTCTGTGATTTAGTTTTCTAGAATTCCTTCATCAAATACCAAACATTGGCCGGGCAGAGTGGCTCACACCTGTCATCCCAACCCTTTGGGAATCTGAGACAGGATTGCTTGAGCCCAGGAGTTCAAGACCAGCCTAGACAACACAGTGAGACCTTGTCTCTACAAAAATAAATAAATAAATAATAAGTTAGCCTGGCATGGTGGCGCATGCCTGTAGTCCCAGCTACTTGGGAGGCTAAGGCAGAAGGGTTGCCTGAGTCCAGAGTTTCAGGCTGCTTGATCCTATCACTGCACTCCAGTCTGGGTGACAGAGTGAGACTCTGACTCAAAAAACAAAACAAAAACCCAAATAACAAAGAGTTTCCAGGTATGAATAGACTCCTCCCAGATCTGTCTTTCCTAGGGGAAATTTTTCTACTAGTGTGTGCCAGAGGCATAGTCAAGGGGTGGCAGGTTGTGTTATGAATGGACATGAAAGTGGACACAATGCTAGTCACCAGGTGAGACTGTACTGGGGTGGGAAATGAAAGAGAAGAAATCTGGGCCAGGGGCAGATTCTCCCACCTGCATTCCAGCTCAGAGCTCTGGGAAGTTGATTTTTTTTCCCCCCTGGGGCCTCACTCTGTTACCCAGGCTGGAGTGCAGTGATATAACCATGATTCACCACAGTCTGAAACTCCTGGGCACAGGTGATCCTTCTGCCTCAGCCTTCTGAGTAACTGGACAACAGGCATGCGCCACCACATCTGGCTAATTTTTTGTTGTTGCTGTTGAGACAAAGTCTTGCTACGTTGTCTAGGCCGGTCTCAAGCAATCCACCTGGGTTCAAGTGAGCCACTTGGCCTGACCAGATGTTGAATTTGGAATTCAAAATTCAAACCTAGCCTTCCAGATCATTTTGAAGATACAGTTATCAAGGTTGGTGCAAAGTACAAATTTTATATAAATACCTGTTCATTTAATTCATAAGTTTTAAGTATTTAGACATATGCTATATGAGCCTCTATCTGTTTTCTTACAAGGGACCTCGCCAAGTTACAGGTCAGCCTAGTGGTTAGGCAAGGATTCAGAGTCTAGCCTGGGTTCATATTCCCTCCTCACCTCACCAGCTATGTCAGCTTAAGGAAGCCTCTTAATCTTTTCTGAGTCTCCAGTTTCTCATTTACTTGTAAAACAAGGATAATGAGAGCATCCTCTTTATAGGGTTGTTTTGAAGACTAATTTAATTAGTTCATAGAAAGTACCTAGAACAGCACCTAGTACACAAATGTTGTTATTCTCCACACAAAACTGCTTGGTCCAAGATGAAAGGATTGCCTGAGCCCAGGGGTTTGAGAATAGCCTGGGCAACATGATGAGACCTCATCTATACAATAAATTTTAAGAAATTAGATTGGTGTGATGGCATGTGCCTGTAGTTCCAGCTACTTGAAAGGCCAAAGGATCACCTGAGCCCAGCAGGTTGAGGCTGCGATGACTGTGAGCGTGCCTCTGCACTCCAGCCTGGGCAACAGTGAGATTCTAACTCAAAAAAACAAAAACAAAAACAAAACAAAACTGCTTGGCCATTGCATACTTCTAGATCATACCATAGCTAGGAAGTTGTTCTGTATATTTCTTCTTTCCTATTGCTCTCTAATTTTAATTATCTTGCTTTATGCCCCTCCAAAAGATAGTTATTCCCTATTCGGAAAAAGATAAGTCATCTAAGTGTTGACCTGCCTGGTACAAGTTCTTCTGAAATTATATTTGTTCATCTTCTTCCCCAGCTCAGCAGATACAAGTAACTCAGGCCTTTGGCTGGTTGGAAGTTTGAAGTCTGGCAAATTGGTTTTCTGTGTCAATTTCATACCATAAACGTTTGAAAACATTACCAATTTTAAGTGTAGAAAGGACACTAACCTTCACGTGCATCAGGCTCAGAGCTCTAAGCCAGGGTAGGTCCCTCTTAACTCACACACCAGAGGTTGAAATACTTGAAGCTATCCACAAAGAAAGGCTACCAGACAAGAGAAACTAATGCTAAAAATAGAGCCCTACCAGTAGAGAAATAAATGGGAAAAAGCAATCCTTCCTCTGGCTACTTATTTGTCCACACATTTCTTCATTATTAGATGGAGGTATACTATCAGCATAGTAATTATACATTACCAACAACTTTCTTGATGACTTATATTTCCCCTGCAGTGACTGAACAAACAACTTGAAGAAATACTTGCCACATTTAATGACATGCAAGCAGCATATATAGCATCGTGTATTATTTCACCACAGAAACCTCTCTTTCAAATCTTTTAAAGACCTAAAACCAGAGAAGAAAAGTATAAAGAAAATATCCAAGGTCATATTTACCCTTTAAAATATGTACCAAACTGACGTGTTCAATACAGCGAGCAGTGAACATTCAAACCTCCATTTTTTCCCAATTACTCTAAAGAATTTTTAAAATAGATGGTTTGTCATCCTACGAAGTGGGTAGGACTGTTTCCCCGAGCTATGTCTCATTAGTCTCCCATAAAATGAGCAATGGCAAAGCACTGCTAATTTCAACAGTTTTTCTATTAACTTAGATCTCCTCTAAATCCAAAATGAAGTATAAAGGCCAGGATGAAATAAATGAAAATTAACTGGATTTGACAGAGGCAAGACCGAGCACATTCATTCAGCCAACAGTAATCTCATCCGAATCAAATATATTGTTTCTCTAAGAGTTTTGCCAACTTCCTATAAAAATTTCATGAACGCTTCCTATTTTTGGCCAGTTTTTATTTATGCAATTAAATTGGCTTGTTATAAGACCTGGGCTGGAGAAACAATATATTTTTACAAGCCCATTAGTCATACAGTCAAGCCTCATTATATCATAATCACTCATCAGGAGTCAGCAGTGAGAATGCTGTTTCCTTGTGCAATGACGATATTGGAGAAAATACGTGTTCATGATAGACCATAAGACGTGTGAAATGCAGAATACCCAACACCAGGGGAAAAGTCAGCGAGTTCATCTGGCTTTCATTTTCGCTCAAGAGCCTCACAGTTGTATGGACACAAACCCAGCTTTTAACTTGGAAGCCACAGCCTTAAGTATCAACCCCTTCGGGCCTCCACCCTTTTCGAACCCCACTCCCTTAAGGGAAGTAGAATACTTCCTTTAGAATTGATTACTGTTATCAAAGACTCTCAAGGGAGATCATTTCGGCTTGGGCCATTTTTCCAGCATATGTTTGTTACAGCTTATACTAGACATTTCTCCCTAGATTTGCGTACAGACTTAGCCCCCGAACTCTCTGTCGTGGAGGAGAGGAGGAGCTGGGAGCCCTGGGCTGGCCGTTCCCCTGGCAGCCCGCACACCACCCGCGGGGCTATGGTCCTTCCACCCGGGCGCCCGTCGAGGTTGCCCCAGGCTGCATTCTGCGCCCGTCAACGGCAATAACTGAGCTTGGGGAAGTAGAAAGAAATCGGCTTCAACAAAGCACGATTTGTGCAGCTTTGGTAACGCAAGGGCAAATTGTGGTGTCAGGGTTGGAAAACGGAAAGCGTTCATCATGATTTTGATGTCGAATTTCAGGATCCAAGGGTCCCTCTGGGATCCCCAGAACGTCACCGCTCCATTAAGCAGCTTCAGGTCCCTTCCCTGCTCGCTCGCCACAAAAATCCGGGCTGCCCGGTTCCCGGAACAGCAGTGAATGCGGCTCGCGTCGGGTGCCGTTTCCCCAACCGCAGCTTGGGCGCAGCTGGGGTAAGCCCCGCGGAGTCCCGCTTCGATCAGTTGCAGCTGGAGAGCAGAGACACCCGGAGCTCGGAGAAAAGCAACAAGCCCCGCAGGGTCTGACCTCCCCACGGCCAGCAGGGGGGCCCGCAGCTCTCGGGGCAATCGGCAGCTGAACCCGGGCAGGGCGTCCCAACCGCTGCGCCCCAGCGCCAGAGGGCACCGGGGCGAGTGAGAGCGCGCCGCGCCGCGCCTCGCTCCTGGTGCTTGGTTCCCGGGAGTCAGGGCCGCGCGCACCCGGGAGAATTCCCGGCCGGGCACCAAGGGGCGAGGGAGGTCCCCGACCCTCCCGGCCCGACGCCCAGGTACCTCGCAGCCGTACAGCTGACTCAGCTGCTCTACGATCCACTCCTCCAGCACGAGCCGCTTCCGAAGCTCCTTGCGATCGTATTTCACCGTCACTTTTCCCTGCTGGTGGCGCTTCTGCTGCTGCTGCTGCTGCTGCTGCTGAACCTGCCCGGCAGCGGCCGCCGTGGTCGCCGGCTCTGAGTCCTCCCGGGAGGATCCTGAGCCGCTGCTCGAGCCTGGGCTGCCGCCGGCGCCGCCCCGGGGGCTCTGGAAGAAAACCCGCGCGCCGCTGCTGCCAGCCCCGCCGGCCGCCTCGCTGCTTCCCGTCACCACCGACATGTCCCCGCGCACCGGAGCCCAAGTGCGGCCGGGAGGAGGGGCGGGCGGAGCGCGCCGGGCGCCGCTACCACCTCCAGCCCGGCAGCCGCATGCGAAGGGCTCCACGGCACCTGCTCCGCGCGCCGCGCACGCCCGG